ATATCCTTCTTAAAGCTATTTGTTAGTATATATATATTATTAGATTGTAATAAAGGTTTTCCTAGTTTTTGAGTAGATATCAAGCTCTCCAGAATATAAAAAAATTATTGTCTAATTATTATCCATTATACTAACTGCTTCCTTTTAATATTAAAAGATGAAATGAGTTTAGCTTATAAGGAATCATAAATAGGGAATAGACTGGATAATATCAGTACTACAGTTAGGATATAGTTTATATAGAACTGAATTTATACTATTGTTATAGTAGTATGAGAGTAGTTTTTTATAAATTTCAGTATAAATTAATTAATAAAAAACAAAGGATATAAAAGGATACTCTGTATTCTTTCATATTTATGCTTTTCCGGCTAGTCCCCGGAAGGGGATTAGTCTCTACGCGGTGATATATAATCTCTAATACTTATTAATAATTATTCGGCATATTATATTAATAATCTCTAAATCTGAATTCCTTAGTACTTTTATTTTTTTTGCGAATATATTAGAAATAAAAAATTATAATAATAAATATACTAATTTATATTATTCTTAGAAATAGCTTTAATAATAATCTCTTTTTAATCTTTTAATATTTTATTATTCTTAATAAATAGACTTATATAAAAGGAGCCATCGATATCAAAAGGAAAATATATATCGTATAATTTGATAAATCAATATAACTATTGATAAAAATATGAAGAATAGAGAGCATAAGGAAGCAAGAACGATAGTTATTTTTCTTTAATAATACAAAAATAAAGAAGCTGGAAATCGCACATCCCTTGTAATCGTTCGTCGATCATGTACCGGCCTCATAAACTAGGCCACACTATACCAGTCCTGCCCAAAAAGTGTGATTGTGGAAAAATTGACGCAAAAAAATGACCATGAAACTCATCCTAACAGGACGTTGGTATTAATATCCAACATGATAGTGAGCTTGGTTGAAATGGGGGCTTTCTGATGCTTCTTCTATTACATTTATGCCTTTCGAGATATATTTTACAGTCAAGACTATTGACTCTGTTTGTCTACAACAGCATTCTTCTTGGATCCTCTATGTACTCTTTAACCTTGACAAGGAATTGGACGGCCTCTCTCCCATCAAGTAGACGATGATCATAGGTCAAAGCCAGATACATCATAGGTCGAATGACGATTTGGCCATTAACAACAACAGGCCTGTCCTTAATAGCATGCAGACCCAATACAGCAGTTTGCGGAAGATTGATGATAGGTGTACCCATCAAGGATCCAAACACACCACCGTTGCTAATAGTGAAAGTGCCACCAGCCATGTCTTCGATTGTAAGTTTGTTGTCACGAGCCTGGAAACAGTAAGCAAGAGCCAAGTCAAATATGCCACAGAATCAAAATACCTTCTTGCCTAGATTAGCAATAGACTTCTCGATAGCAACAAGGTCCATGGCCTCAGTGTTGCGAACAACAGGAGTTACCAAACCCTTTTCGGTAGCGACGGCAACACTGATATCAACGTAGTCCCTGTAGACGATGGTGTCACCTCCATTTGGACCCTCAATAGATGCGTTCACTGCAGGAATGTCTCGCATAGCAAGCACAGATGCACGAGAAAAGGCACTCATGAACCCAAGCTTAACGCCAGTCTTCTTGAGTACCTCATCCTTGTAGAGCTTTCTGAACTCCATCAAAGATGACATGTCGACCTCATTGAAAGTTGTTAAAGATGCCGCGGTATTCTGCGATTGCTTCAAACGCTCGGCAATGCGTAATCGCATTCGATTCATCTTGACCTAATAGTACTGTTAGCCGGAAAATGATGGAGAGTACCGGATATAGTCCATACACGACGTTCCTCCCGACTGCCCAACGTAGGCCCGGAACTACTGGATGATGATGATTCTTGCTTCTTAGATTCCGATGGCTTGGGCTTAGGGGTCTCTTTTGATTCTGCTTTCTTCTCCGGAGGTGCGGGGGAATTGGATTCTTCTTTGGGTTTCGACTCCTTCGTCTTCGATGGCTCAGGATCCGATGATGTTGACTGATCTTTTGATGCTGGTCCCTTTGGTTCCGAAGAGGCCTTTACTTTATCACCACCCTCTGGAGCACCCCCAAGTTCCAGACGGATCAAGTCTTGACCAACAATAACGGTATCTTCTTCGTTCGCCAGGAATTCCTTTATTGTGCCAGCTTCGGGAGCATTGACAGCAACATCGATCTACAAATTTTCTTGTTAGCCATGAGTTTTCGAGTACATCTTAGGATATACCGACTTTATCGGTCTCGATTGTAGCAATTTCCTCATCCTGCTCAACATAATCCCCGATTTGTTTTGACCATTGCTTCAAAGTACCCTCAGAGATCGATTCTGCCATCTCCGGTACTTTGACAATCTTGTCGGCATAATTGCGAAATTGCTGGATAACTGGGAATGGATATCTCAATTGCGGTGCCGCGGAACGCTGAGCCCGCAAAAATCGCGAGGCTGTTAAGAACCTCCTGGTAAGCATTTCGAAAGGAGAGAAAAAGACAGAGGTTTAAGTTCGTGAGAGAAGGAGGTCGAAGAAAGGAAGACCTGAGTCGTAGAAAAATAAATAAAAGAACCTATTTCCAAGATCAACAAACGCGCATGCGAAAAGAAATAGGTAAAGGATAAGATTGGTTAGGTTACTACTCGAGGTTATTGTATTGTATAATGTCTTTTCCGGTTTCGCGAATTTTATTTTGAAGCGACTTCCCGACATTCGTACCCGCAGACGCCCGTTTAATTTTCCCACGCCTACACTTGTCTATCTAGTAGCACTCCGACAGTCAACCTCCACTCCACTTACCACTGGACCACCAACCACCAACCACAGTCTAGATCATAATTCCGATCTATAGCACCGATCCGACGATAAAGATCTCAAGTGGTCGGGAAATAACTGTCGTCGTGTTTTGGCATTGCCATCTTTTTTGTGCCTCAGTGGAGAAAATACTAGGTTTCACATATAATGTCTACCAGAGCTACAGTATCGTGGGTATCGCCCTTCCCCAACATACACAGGCTATCAGTACTAACTCCCTTCCGTCCAGGTCGCTTTATCGACGCTCCCTTAAACTTTCCTTAGACTGGTGTGTACATCGATACCTTTGGAGAGGCCAAGCATTGTACATCAGATCATTATTCGAGGCACAAAAGATTGCCCACGACCCAAGATTGCAGAGGGCAAGTTACTCAATTGGTGTACCGGGAGTGAGTGCATAGGCTGATTGTGTGGCTCGCAGGCATTATTCAAAGAGACAGAGGATTTACTTGAGAAGTGGAAGCACCCGGATCCATATCATCCACCCACTGCTCCTGGAGGTAGGTTTTCTGCAGGCTGGCTGTATACACATCAAATACTTACAGTGTTCTTTTCCCAGGATCGAAATACGAACGGAACCTTCCATCACCAATCCTCGACCGTAAGTTATATAATCTAACGAATACTGAGATCTCCTAATTAACATGTTATAGCTCCACCAAAGATGGTTTTGTAAGTTTTGGGTATCGCATGGACTTGGAGCTAGAGGCCACATGGCGAAACTACAGCTAGTAGAAGAAAAAATAAATTATACATAGCTCCAGGAAACTCGAAAATGTTTCCAACACGCCTCATTCGATGTCAGTAACGTACTGTGCCAAGTGATTTTATGCACAAGCCAACGATGAAGCGGACAAGAATAAGAATATATGTTTAGACCAAGAATATTGCAATGTTGATATGGATCGCGATTTTGAGATCCGAATAGGAATATCACCATGTTGGAAGTTGGACATCGGAATTTGGAATATCAGCCCCCAAACGAAAATGCTCCTCTATCCACGTTCCTGAAGAAATTCAAAACAAACACGAACGCGTCTCGCGGTCAAGACCCGCGTTCATTTCACACTGCAATGGCACCGTGTCAAAGTGGAAAAAAGTAGTTTGGAAAATGAAGAATCATCATTCGGATTTTCATTCGTAAGATTGATTCAGAAAGCAATCCTAATCCATTGCCATGGATTTTAATGTACAACCGGAACGCGAAAAAGTAACCATAAACCCAAACCCATACGACACCCCATTATCATAAAAGCAAAACCATCTCAAGCCAACAACCCAGAAACAAAAATCTATAGCTCTTGACTGGCAGGCTTTCCACCGGCAGCCTTGGCAGTCTTCTTTGGTAGAAGGTCTGGAGAATGTTAGAAAACGTCAAATTGCAAATAGTGTTTCGAGAACTTACTTTGATGAATGTTTGGCAAGACACCACCCTGTGCGATTGTAACATGTCCCAAAAGTTTGTTCAATTCCTCATCGTTTCTGATGGCGAGTTGGAGATGACGTGGAATGATACGGGTCTTCTTGTTGTCGCGGGCAGCGTTGCCAGCCAATTCAAGAATTTCGGCCGCGAGGTACTCGAGAACTGCGGCAAGATAGACGGGGGCACCTGAAAGAAACGAGTTAGGAATTAAGACCCAAAATGTTTGATGGATATAACTCACCAGCACCAACACGTTGAGCGTAGTTGCCCTTGCGGAGAAGACGGTGGACACGACCAACTGGGAATGCGAGACCAGCCTTGGATGAACGGCTAAAGATAACACAATTAGTATTAAAGACTACAGATACAAAAACCCTTGATAATGAATAGATCAAGAACGCGAATTGCGACAAAGGCGAAAGAAGAGAGAAATGCTACTCACGATTGCGAGTTCTTGGTAGGACCAGCCTTTCCTCCTGCAGATTTACCTCCTGTCATTTTGAGTTTGGTATAAGAGTTGAAAAATTAACGTGGAGTTGATTTAATGAGGGGATTCTGAAGTATATTGGTTGTATGGTTGTATGGTTGTATGTTGTGTTGAAAGATTTGTGTCAAAAGGTCTGTTTTGAATTCGAGGAGAAAGGTATCTTCTTATAATAATTGAATGTTGTGAGCTCATGGCCCATCACTTTAGCTGCTAAATAAAATCAAAACGCCGGTAATCTTGGCCAATAATTTCGTGACATTCTTCCCTTGATCCACTTATCCCTATATTCCTTCTGAAACTGGATTAGCTTTATCATTAATTTCGCCCAAAAATAAGGCTGCAAAGGGGTTAGTGGCCGGCTCATCAAATCACTCACGCTGAAATAAGAACTCTCTTCTCTTCTTCCATGAGGGTTCCAAACTTTCACTTTCTTAACAAAAACAAATAACAAATCACGCTCATCTTTACATTTACATCGACTACAACCAAAATCTTTCAATTTTCAAACTTCAATCCACATCAAAACAAACACATACCATATTAAAAATGCCACCAAAGGGAGTCGCAAGCAAAGCACCAGCTGCCGCCAAGGTACGTGTTTATTTACTCTTATTGAGCTCAAATTATTAATTCTAACGTTTGGATTTACAGGCACCTGCATCCGCATCCAAGGTCCCAGCCAAGCAAGATGCTGGCAAGAAAACCACCACCGGAGAAGGAAAGCCACGCAAGAAGAAGGGACGTAAGGAGACTTACTCTTCATACATCTACAAAGGTACGAATCCAACCGCGTTCTCGATACGAAAATAACGCGTCACATTTACACAACAAACAATTACTAACATTATTGATCCACAGTTCTCAAGCAAGTTCACCCAGATACTGGTATCTCCAACCGCGCAATGTCCATCTTGAACTCCTTCGTCAACGATATTTTTGAGCGCGTCGCCACAGAGGCCTCCAAGCTCGCTGCTTACAACAAGAAGAGCACCATCTCGTCAAGAGAAATCCAAACCTCGTATGTTCCGATGCAACTCTATTGCAATAAGCCATTACTAACAATTGCAGTGTCCGTCTCATTCTTCCCGGTGAACTCGCAAAGCATGCCGTCTCTGAGGGTACCAAGGCTGTCACCAAGTACTCTTCATCCACGAAATAAGTTGTCTTTTCTTTGGGGTTTAGGGGTATATCGGATATGCTTGAGCTTTGGGTCATCTATCAGATTATGGCTGTTGTTGTTTGAGAACCTTGGGTTTTCTTTTTAATGCGTTATGGACGGTCTGATTTTTTTTGGGGGCAAATGTCTTCACGGTCTGTTTTCGGGGTACGTGGCTGTACAATAAACGTCTTCACATCAGAATAGGGAAATAGAAGACGAAATTCAAACATTAACTTAATTCCTGTCTGTCACTTTCCACTTCGGTGAATGGATTTGCGGCCTCGATTTTTATCGCGGGATGATTATTGGAAATGGCTTGTATTAACACAGACGGAAAATATGCCATCCGCATATTCGCATCAATCCTACATAGCTAACGCATCGACTAACAACATAAAAGCTTTGCTGTTTTGTTTGCAATCATTTTATGGCAATTCCAAGATCCTTATCCCAGACCCGCTTTCGTTGTTTTTACAACGTGGGAAACGGGTTGTAGGATTCCCTTATTATCGAGAGCACCAAGAGCTGTACCAGCACTCCAGCCCATCTTCTCCAGCATCGCTCTTCCTTTGTTCTCAACACCCAGCTCAGGAGCCGAGGCACCGACCACATCACCATCACGATAGCTAGCTGCACCAAAACCCCCACCTCGACCACCGCGCCTGGGCGCAGCGCCCGCTCTCCTTCCACCCACATCATTACGAGGAAGAAAGCGTCGTGAGAGTTTCGATGCTGCAGCTTCGTAGGCACGCTCTCCATAGACGGTTGTTCTTGAACTGCGGTACAAAATGGGATAACGCTTATTGCCTGCACCGGCTGACCTAGACTTCAATTTGAAGGCATTGGCGATTTCGTGAACAAATTTACGATCGGCTTTGTCCATTGCAGGGAGAGAAAGCCTGCATTATGTTAGCATATATTAGGACAAACAGAAAGGATACTGACGTAGTATTATCACCCTTCAAGAACTCCTTAATTTCTTCCTTGACATCATCAATACTCATACCTTCCTTGTATCTTGCCTTCATATCGGGTTTGCCATGTTTGCCAGTCAGTAGACCTTGTGCACGTAATATTTCACGCTCTTGCTTTCTCTCCTTCTTCTTGATACGATCATTGCCCCATGCTGACTGCATCGATGCCTCGAGCTCTGAATCCGAGATATCGTCAAGAACCAATTTTCCTTTGCGACCCTTGGGCCTCTTTTTGAGACTAGGTCGATCAAAGTCCATTACATCAAACCCATCGTAAGCATCGGCCAATGGAGTTGCAGACGGAAATTCGCCTTGGCGCCGTTGTCTTTCCTTTCTACCTCTTCTGCCTGATAGTATAAAGCTGCCGAGATCAGCCGTGGATGCTTCAACTTCTTCATCCTCATCTTTAACATCATCATCGAACAGCAGAATCTCGTCTCCACCCATACCAAGTTCCTCCTGCTTACTTAGCAGTCTCGCAATTTGTTCATCGTCCATGCTGTTGATCCTCCTTTGAACTAGATCCTGCTCATCATCATGGTCGTCGTCATCATCATTATCAACGCCAGTATCATCGGAATCATCACTGTCCTCGTCTCCATTGCTTTGAAATTCGGCGATCAGCTTCTCTTCGGCTTCGAAGACTTCGATGAGAGGTAGCGCACCGGAGTCTTGTAGCACATGCAGTGGAACCCATCTGGCTTCGTCTACATCTTGATGTTCCCAGACGATCAAGTACTGCACACCGCCAACACGATGCCTCTTGGATAAAACAGTTCGTACTTTGCCTCGGGCTTCATCAGATGTACTTAAATCATCGAGATCCTGCAATTCTGTTCGACTCCATCCATGCCGTATAGGTTGATCAGAAACTTGGACTTCTTCCACAGAAGAGTCATCTTTCCAAATAGCATCATCATCACCCCCCAATTCACGTTTATTAATAGTTTGATCGATATTATCCATGTCTTGTTCCTGATCCATATTTGCAATATAGTCAGCAATCATGGCGTCCTCTTCATCACTATCGTCAGTCTCTCGGGTTGTCCGTCGACCTTGATGTCGACTTTTATTTTGACGCTTAGGTAGGATTGCCTCGAAGTCAGGAGAAGAAGAATCTGCCAACTTGTGTGGCATCGCAGCCAGAAACGTCTCCCTGTTCAAAGCCTCCGCCAACTCGGCTGGAATGGACTCTAAGGATGCCTCATTTTCATCTAACGTCTCTTCTAATAGTTTTCGTTGCTTGAGAAGTTTGTCTTCAACCATCTTGATCCTGGCATCAATTGGATCCGTGCATACTGGGGGGTCGTGTTCGATTCTGGTATCTCCTTTCCCTGATTGACCGCGTCCGTGGAAGAGTATGACTTCTTCGCTTGAGTCGGACCGAGCTGGAGAGATCGATCGTAAGCGTGGAGGTGCGAGACCAGTCTCAAACGGCTTGCTGCCATGGGTATCTATCATGAACGACGAGAATGGTGCAGCCATGAGGTTTTCGCCATCCGCCATTTGTACGTCTTGGGCAAAGCTTTCTTTGGGTAGTTTTGCGGACTCCAAGGTCATTTCAGCCAAAGCTTCCTCGGAATCTTTGATGAGATCGGGCGGTTTGAACTCGCCAGCGCTGACAAAGCTCACTTTTGTGTCCCTCAATCTTGGATCAGAGTTCCAGGATGAATGATGGCGTTCGGTATTACGAGCTTCTTCTTGAAGAGTTATGCCTGCGATACGTCAGTTTGGTTAGTCATTACCAACAGCCTGCTGGAGCAACCGTCGCAGAGTATTGATTGCATGAAGAGTATGTGAGTGAACTTTACCAGTTTGAGGTCTCTGTGGAACATATGCGCCAGCAAATGGTACAAAAGAGGTTCCAGGATTGGGTGTTCCGCGGCCATCTCTAGGTGAACTGAAATTGCCCCTCCCCCGAGCGCCACCTCGTTTGTTTCGCGGCATAACTCGTGTTATTACAATAAAATCGGGATAGGTTCAAAGTCTTGAGGGTGAAACTTAAATGCACAAGATCCACGGGATCAATGATATGGTAGTTGCAGAATAAGAGAAGGCGAAGAAAGATTTGCCATGAAAATAATGTTCGTTTGACAGGTGAATAGAATAGGTAGAGTACTGGTGGTAATTCAGAGTTATGGATGAAGTATGAGTAGGTAGGTAATAACAAAATAAATTGGAATCGCTACTGCTTATCCAATTAGAGGCATCTTCCTAACTGTAGGTACCTAGTAATTATTGTAAATATGAAATAATGATTTAAAAGCTTTCTTATCGATAAAGAGATATTATAAAAAGGCGGGTCACGAATCAATACCTAGTTATTCAACATTTGCATATGAATTACCGGTAATGGCAGGATTTACAATATTGAAAGATTAATTTGATTAGGTATTAATAAGTAGATACATTAATATATTATAAACTCTTCAGAACTTACTAGGTAATCTCCCTTTGCTTTCCTGTATTATTGTTTACTTATATACAAATTACCAAATTACCAGGTATATGCACTTTCAAAGCGAAACATTTAAGCTAGGAACCTACTATATAGATTGACTAAAAACAACAAGGACATCATCATCAGCTGCCTGCAGCACTCACTCACCTCAACTCCCAAACATCAGATTCTTAGAATAACATCAACTTCTATAAAACTTTGCAACATTTCTCAACTTATTGAGAAGAGTTCATTGTTAATTATACTGCTATTTCAGATGCAGTCTTGCTTCGATCAGCCGTATACTCAATTATAGAACTCATCAGTTAATAATTCGGCCAATTTCCCCTCATTGTCCCCATTACTTACCCCAGCACTCGAAATTCTTATGTGCATTCGACACGATTTAGATACGAACCATACTCGCATTCAGCCATGACGACGGTCGATTTAGGTCGTTACAAACGCTTCGTCCAGTATTTCTGGGATCCCGAACCTACAAACGATGCCGCTTCAAAGTCACCTATATGGTGTCTAGGAGAGGAATATCTAGTTCCGGAGAAGTCATCCATTTCAGCTGTTACAGAATCGCCTCCACAGGAAGGAGGATATTTCCCCACACAATCTCTACCCACCACTAAAGTTACGACTCCACCAGACAGTACCGTTGGGAGCCTCGAATCAAGCTCAGGTTACGATGATTGCGATACTGCTAGCGCAGATGGAGGATGGCCAAACGCATTTCTTGACGATTTCGAAGCCAAGATATGGCTTACATATCGATCAAACTTTCCAGCGATAGCTAAGTCGCAGGATCCGAAGGCTCTATCTGCAATGTCACTATCAGTACGACTAAGAAGTCAGCTTGTTGATCAAGGCGGCTTTACATCTGACACGGGGTGGGGATGTATGATAAGGTCCGGGCAGAGCCTGTTGGCAAATTCATTACTTACTCTGAGGATGGGCAGAGGTTCGCCCCTTTTCCGTTGTCGTGCTTCACATTTGGACTAATCATGACGTAGATTGGCGTCGCGGCTTATCTAGTAACGAAGAACGCAAAATCCTATCTTTATTCGCCGATGATCCTAGAGCCCCCTACTCAATCCATAAGTTTGTTGAGCATGGCGCAAAGGCTTGTGGGAAACACCCCGGAGAGTGGTTCGGACCATCTGCCACTGCTCGTTGTATCCAGTAAGAACGCCGCCTTCGAGAAATTGGACAAACGGCTGATTAGCTATAGGGCTTTGACCAACAACCAGGCTGAACCGGAATTGCGGGTGTATATTACGGGTGATGGGTCAGACGTGTACGAAGATACTTTCATGAGTGTCGCAAAGCCAAACAATACGGACTTCACGCCGACTCTCATCTTGGTAGGCACGAGGCTGGGGCTTGACAAGATAACCCCTGTCTACTGGGAGGCGCTGAAGTACTCTTTACAGATGCCTCAATCTGTGGGAATAGCTGGGTAAGTCGCCCTTCTTTATAAGATTGGTTGTAGGCTAACTTAGTACAGAGGTCGCCCTTCCTCCTCGCACTACTTCATTGGCGTGCAGGGGTCAGAATTCTTTTACTTGGACCCTCATCAAACTCGACCAGCACTGCCATTCAAAGAAAATGTGGAAGACTATGTCGCTGAGGATATTGACTCATGCCATACACGCCGACTTCGACGACTCCACGTAAAGGAGATGGACCCTAGCATGCTTATCGCATTCTTGATACGCGACGAGAATGACTGGAAAGAGTGGCGACGGGCCGTTCAAGAAGTACAGGGCAAAGGCGTCATCCATGTCGCAGATAGGGATTCGGTATTATACGGACTTGAAGGAGAACGGGATGGGGCCATCGACGAGGTTGAAACATTCGATGACGATGATGATGATACCATATTAGATGCTTAAGGCGCTGGGGCAATAATCTATCCAGGGGAATTCAGGCATATTAGGCGTTTAAGGTAGCGGGACTCTATAGATATTAGGCTCAATTCATTGTAATGTCAGAACGCAATCTCGATTGGTTTCAATGGTCAAGGTTGTCTCAATGTTCAAGATCATGCCAATACCGAAGCCCATCTCAAATTTCGACCTTGTTGTAGTTTGCAACACTGTCTGGACATCTCATCTCAAATCAAACGCATCGCTAGACACTGATGAGCAGCCGAAGCGGGGTGAGCACGAAGATGCATGATGCATTTTTGAAAGGTATTGTCCATGTTTTAGATACATCCTTCTTTCGAACACCTTTTTATACAAATAATGGTATAAAGCTATCATAAATCCCACCTAATGTTCCAAACCTTATGATTTAGCTACCCATGCTCTAGTTCCTCTTTTTGGAGTTGCCAGCTTTTTGTACGGGTTGGGCATGGTCAAGCTTTTTGATATGGTTGAAGAGCTTGCTCTTTGAGGAGAACGACTCATGACATGTCACACATTTGTACTGGAATCTTATCAGCATCAAGTGATCGATGGTTGAAGAGAGATGACTTACGTTATGTCCCTGCTGCTCATTAGTCTCTTTTTGAGCAGCCTTTTTGGCACGCTTCGCTTTGGCTTTCCCAAGAGGCTTTTTCGGAACTATATCGCCAGAAGCGTTTTGTTCTTTATCATGGTTTGAACCCTCGGATTTGTTAGGGGTTTCATCCCCCGATATTTCTCCCATTAGTCGTTCCTCGACTGCAATTCTGGGTGCGTAATCACCATTTATGCTCTCAGTGTCAGAATTGTTATTTGCTGGATCTTCCGACTTGCAGAGAGTCGAACCTTGATCGAATATCGAGAGATCCACCTTTCCTCTGGCATCAGTTTCATCATCATCGACAGTAGACGTAGACTCACGCTTGCTATTAACTGAAGTGACTTCATGATTTTCACTGTCTGAAGTAACGTCAAGCTTCCCATTGTTCGAAGTAACGTCAAGCTTTTCGAAAGCATCAACAAGAGTGCTGTTTCCTGGATCTGATGGTGTTTCTAGATGAAATGATTTGTTTTCCTTGCGCATTTGCTTCTGGATAGCCTGTACGGCCTTGATGTGCTTTTTACTTTTTGTATGCACCTCAAATTGGTTCTCACTCTTGAATGTCTTATTACAAATAACGCACTCCAACACTTCAACCTCGGACTCTTCAGATGATTCTTCGATGAGTTCCTCGGTATCTTCCGATTTCGCCCAATCTGGAACCACATGACTGTTCATCTTAGCCTGGTTTGCCGCTCGTGAACGAGCTGCTTGAGCCGACGCAGCATCCCGCAATATTTTTTGTCTCTCCGCCTCGGTTTGCGAATTTGGGGTAAAACGAGGGTCTCTTCTTCGCACAAACAAAACAAGGTGCCTGACCGCATCATTGAACTCTGCCTTGGCCTCATCCCGGGACCTTTTATTTTCCTTCTCTATCAACCGACGGGTTGCCCTATCCGGCGCATCGGAGGTCCGGTAGAGATCTTTCCACGAAAATGACTTCTGTGTAGTGAAATTTACCCAGGTTCGGTAAAAAGCTTTAACTACATCCTCATAGTTATCCTCGGCGCTCCCAAAATCAGGATAATCGACTATTTCAAGACCATCCCAATCGCTTGCTGCATTCTCCTCTCTTGCAAGAGATGCAAATGTCTCTCGAAGTATACCAAAGAACCCGTTTGGAGCATCGGTGAAGGGAACACTTGAATCAAACTTTCCAATCAAGCTCATGATATGTGCTGCGCTTGTCATTCGAACATTTTCCGCAAAATCGTCTTCCGCAAGATCACCACCTCCTAGTATTGATAACCGATGAGAGTCATACCAAGATCTTTCTTGTGGATCTGACAAGACTTCGTAGGCAGATTGAACTTCGGCAAACTTCGTGGTGGCAGTTTCGACATTACCATAATTTCGATCGGGATGAAGTTCCAGTGCCTTCTTTCTGTAAGCTTTTTGATCCTAAAAATTATGAAATCAATCTTAAGATACTGATAAAGTGAAAGGCTAAACTCCTTACTCATCATCCGAAGCCTGCCGTTCGACGGCCAATACCTCGTAGTAACATGTTTTCATGACCACCCCGCCATTATTTTGTGCATCTCCTCCACGCGAGGAAGATTGTTCTGCACCCATTGACTGATTAACTACCTACCTATCTACAATACTCGTACTAACTAACAATACTCACCACCAGAGAGGCCAGAGGAGTGTGAGTATTCAGAAAGGTAGAGAATAGAGAGTAGAGAATCGGCTATGTAGAGATAGCAAATGTATTGATATCTATCTATGAGATCTATTATGTTGTGTACCTATGATAATGAAATTCTTGGAAAGGTTGAACGTTAATGTTGTACCGGTATTTGCTTTTTACCGGTAGTACAAATACATACCGTATTACATAAGCACCATAGCGCAGTTTTGGCTAGGTTGGTAGGTAGATAGATAAATAGATAGATAGATAGATAGATAGATATCGATACGATAGCTGTGAATTCCAATAATCGATAAACCCAATCCAATCATATGAGTATCAGCAAAGCATATAGCAAGGAAGCTTAATATAGTTTAGTGTATTGGAACAATTACACCTGAGTATATCTTATATACATCCATACAATCATAATAAATATCAAGCGAGACTGCTATTCCTTTTGCCTTACCTTGATTGGACATGACGGGGAGACGGGGGTCAAAATAATATTGCAGGCAAGATGATTTTAGTCTAAATCCGCATTGACTCATTCACTTACTTGTTCGTACTCCCTCCTACCAGGACGGACCTCATCTTCCTCGTCCTCTTGCCATTAAAGCTCATCAATAATTTGATGTTTAATAAGGCTGAAGCTTTAAGGTAGATACCCTCCGTAGGTATCTGCGTCCTCAAATACTACTGTACTTACTAGGTAGGTACCGGTAGTCCTTACCCGTCGCGAAATATCATTCCTTTATAATTATCAACAATAATAAACTCAGGAGTCACACATTTCAAAGAATGCCACATGAATATATCTTCTTCACAGCTCTATAATAGCAGACACATCAAAAGGTTGTAACATCAATACCAACATAATCCTATCATGAAATTTGCCAAAGAATTCAAAGACGCCCTGGCCAGAGAAGGATTTCCGCCACGTTGGGTAGATTCTGCTATTCCGTATGGTTTACTCAAGAAGTCTCTTAAGAAGGTTGGTTGGTTGGCATTTCACAACGAAAGCAAAAGCTAAAGTGACCACAGATTGCTATTGAGTTGGCAGAATGCGGCCTTGATCCCGCTGCACTTGCGAAATTAAGAGAGATTTCCAGTACCGGTCCCGCTTACTTGTATGACTTTAAGGGTATGGCCAACCTTTCACGCTTGTGGTGATTTACACATATATAAATATATTAATTGAAAAAGGATCGAAGTTTCGGCCCACGCTCATCTTGCGGCTCGAACAAGGAGTCACCGTTGATGCTAGGTTGTCAGCTGACACGAGAAGATACCTAGAGGATCTGGTAAATCACCACCAGGACCTTTCTTATGTGCCGCCAGCTGATACTGCTGGTGGCGAGATTGGTCAAATCGTTCCTATGTAGGTACATCCTTACCACAATTGTTTGGCAAACGCTGATATGACTTGTAGAGACTCTTCGACAGAAAGTGGGGGAAAACAACCCCTTGTCCGGGAAGTGGAGGTGCCTCTTACCTTTGATGCAGAATTCTTCGGTCTTCTGCAGGGCGATGTTGAGAACTTAGACGCGCTCCAAGTTGAGGAGCAGAAGGCGCTGGTCATCGAGGTTGGCGATCTTTCAAAAGAGCTCGTTAAGCTCAGCGAACCTTCAAGATTCAAAAAGACCGACCAGTATCGATGGAGAGAATTGTTCGATGTTTATCTACAAGCTGGAATCTTCTTCTCGGATCTTGAAAAGGACCATGGTAAGCGTGATAGTTTCGCTGCGTTGAAGCGATTACAGTAAGCATGCATATTCTGAAAGTATAAGGGCCATTTGACTGAAAGCACTCTTCGCAGGTGGTTCCAGAGTGAAGTAGTCAAGAGAGGTATTGTAGATACATTCAAACTCTCCCCTAGCCGCAAAGCATGTACGTATATTGGATTCTGGTGTTTGTCGTACGAAGATTGCTAACCTTAACAGTGGACCAGTTCATCAGTATCAATGTTACGCTACTTCGGAATCTCCGATTTCAGGAGATCAACCAGAAAGCCATTACTAAGATATTGAAAAGTAGGTTCTATGATTGTTTAATTTCTTTGTCCCGAACCGTTCTCGAATCTGAGCTAATGGAAGCAGAATTTGACAAAAGGACAACACTTGGTGCTAGGCAAACATTCCCCAAGCTGATCCAGTCCGATGCTATTATGACGGAAGCGATGGCAAGATCAGTATGTGCGCAGATGACGCAGGATCTTGTGCAGATAGTGCCTCAGTTGAGTGATTATACATGTCCCGTCTGTCTTGCCATAGTATGGCGACCAATAAGAATGGAATGCAACCACGTATTGTGTGTTCGGTGTACAGTATTCATGCAGCGACGTGGGACTCATGCTTGCCCCTTATGTCGAGATGATGTTATCTTGAAGGCCGATCAAGGTAGGTTAGATAAACGGAACTGGAAAAGTTCCCCAGCTAATGCGCATAGATAATATCGATGAAAAACTCTCCAAATTTCTTCTAAGAAATTTCCCCAAAGAGACGAAGGAAAAACAAATTGAGCATGAAACGATAGATGGCAGGGAGAGGTTCGGCATATACTATATTCACCCTTCGGAGCAAACCCCTTTGCAAAGATATTGTACTGTCATGTAAGAAGACCTTGGAAATTGTTGACAGCGTTATCACCTTCAGCGGGAGTAGGAATGGGTCCAGGCAGTCGGTCCCCACTCACGGCGTTTTTCTTTTTCTCCATGATATCCAATGGCGACGATGGTATGATTATTATCGATTTTTTAGAATAACAATATTATACAGCACAACAATTTCTTCTATTAACTATTCACTTTTAAGAATCTGAAACAATTCTATTAATTAATATTATACTATATTATACTATAAGTAAATTAATATAATATTTAATATTCGAAAAAGAATTAATATATCGATATTATATATACTATCTATCGACTTTATATTATTAAAAGTCTATTTTAAATAAATGCTTATATAGATATTAAAAGTAAATATATATAGTAAATACTTTATATTTTTTTTAAATAATACTAAGATTAATAATAATTAAAAAACTATTATATAGTT